AATTCAAAATGAGAACTTCATAACTAGAGGTATATCTTTAAAAGAAAGGAGCTTTTATGACAGGTTTACTTTGCAGAAAATGAATATTTGATCTTAATTTGTTTTAACTAGATGATTCCTCTGACCAGCGGGTTTTTTTAAGAGTCCGGCTTGCGGGTTGTCTATCTTTCTCGGACTAGCGGGTTTTCTAAGAGTCCGGATTGCGGGTTGCCTATCTTTCAGAATTGCGGGTTTACTGTAGTCTGAAAGATTTCACTGAATTATCAGAAGTTGCAACAAAAAGAATCACAAAGTTGTGCTTGTTGATTAGCGGGTTTTCTAAGAGAAAATCAACAAGCGAGAAATTTGCTTATAACTTTGTGAAAACTAATTGCGGACAGCACTTACGTATGGACATACAGTGTCGCGTAAAACACTTTTGTAAGAGTAAGCTATAAACTTTATTAAGGGCTCAGCAAATATTGCAAACTTTATTTTCCAAATACGACGTGTTCGCTGTTACGCGTTTGGACGCTCGCAAGGAACTATTACTGCTTTGACTCGTCGCTTTCCCAACATCCTTTTTAAGGGGTGGAAATACGCTGTGGCCTTATCGGCCTGGCCCAAACAATGTGGCCCAGGACTTGGGCATCTGGTTTCTATTAGGCAGGGCTCTTCCTACGCCGTTAGACTTTCGACTTCGCTTACACTTTTCACTTTTTTGGTATCCCTTTGTTGTTCTTAAACAAAGAGGAGGGAATTACACTGTATTCGGTTTTAACGTTTTGCTTGTTCGACTAGCGACAGCGGACTGACTCTGTTCTGCTTTTTACTGTACAAAGCATGCATGCAGGTTTCGACTGGGCTAAGAATGATCTCATGAGTTTAGGTTTCAGATGGTTTTGTATATGGAATATCCGGTGATAAGATTCGAACGCTTTAGACTTCGAACGTAATTGTATACTCAATAAGAAAAGCACTCTACAGCAAGCGTTAAAATATCACATCGAATACAATCTACTGATTTTCATTCGTGAAAAATACAGAATCATCCTCACTTATGATTAAACAACATTTAATGACGAGAGAATATTTTTCTGCAAACTCTAACCTTGTAATTTCACTCATCAATTTTCCTCGATAAACCATATTGACGCTGATCACGAAACTTCCTGACCCGAAATTGATTCGTGGACCCTCACACATCTTCGAACAACGCGACGACAACTGGTCTCTGCCTCGTATTCGCTCATTTCCTGTATGGCGTAATCGTTTCCATCGTCTGTTTCCCTTCTTCTGCTTATTTATCTGCGTTGTTCGTGACAAACGACGGTAATTTCGGGATGAAAAACGAAAAAGGAAAAGATGATACTGTATTGTAGATCGCTGGGACGATTAGCGTGAATGCGAACGGTTGGTTATTGAAGATCGAATATTGTTTCGGAATCAAGTTAATTTAACCGCGTCGGCGTAATATCTGTCGCTGATTTATATCAAAGCGTCAGAACTGGTGGCTGGACAACGATTAATTTTGATGATACCCCAATTGCTATCGAAAGCGAATACGTTATTGTGATTTCTAGGGAATTAAGAATACCTACACTGTGATATTGCAGTTGAATCGACTTTCATCCATATTATATAAGGTAGTAAGAAATGTCATTTCAAATTATTTATTAGTTAATTATAATAATAATAATAAAACTTGGTAGAAATATATTTTGAATTGTTCTTATTTTGAGGGGGAATTTTCGTGGCTATTGAGACACAAGAGGTATCAATAAAGATAATACTGACTAACTAACTGACGAACATATTTTGACTTGTGAAAATATAAGATTATGTTCATTTAATCATGTTCATCGTATAATAAATTTATTATACGTTATAAATGTATTATGCATAGACCGCGTTCCTTTAACACCATTAAACAGCAAGTAATTGCATTTGATGTATCTAATTGATTCCTCTTCCTGTACATAAATTCATAATATACTTGCTGTCATGAAGTCAGTGAATAAGATATAAGAAAGATATGTATACTAGGCCAATTTGATTTAGAGATATTTTCTCTTCCATTAAAACTAATTTTACCCTCACTTGTGAATTTGAATGCGTTTTAATAAATGATAAAAGAGAAATACTGCCGAGCAAACTTATGATTGAATAGAGCATCGGGACTTGTAAGTTCTATAGTGACGCCTCGGGCAGTTATATATCATCAGTCGCAATTAATCAAGTGTCGGAAGAAAAATTGGAGGAAGAGAAAATTGCACACTGCGACGTGACTGAGGATCATTCGTTTCAACAAATGGCAATTTCAAAATGATTAACAATTTGTCACGCCGGGGTATAGTCAGGCACGTCGGAAAATGGAAAGGGACACAAACTTTTGTAATTGATGAGGAATTGAGATGTAAGAGTTTCTCGAATTACGCATGTTGAGGGATGAAATATTTGGGAATATTCAATAATTTAGTATAAATAGTGATGAAATATTGGATTGACATTTATAGAAGAAATAACAACCTTCCAATTTAATAATTTTATAGATATGAGTTTTGCAATTTTCTTAAACACAAATCTGTTATTTTTCATTATACGTCTGTCATGATTGCCATTGCTTGTTGCCATTTATTCGTTTCTCTTTTTGTTTAAGTAGCCAGAAATATATAGATGAAATCTGAAAATAATTCGAATCAAAATGATAATTTCTTAATTAGCGGTGTATCTCTAAAAGAAAACGAGGATCTATAGCGGTTGGTCTATTCAGTGGTGAGGAATCGATCTCAATTTAGGTAGATCATGAAATTACTCGGACTAGCGGGTTTTCTAAAGTCCAGAGTGCGGGTTTTCTATTTCTCTCGGACTAGCGGGTTTTCTCAGAGTCCGGATTGCAAGATATCTCTCCTTCTCGGACTAGCGGGTTTTCTAAGAGTCCGGAATTCGAGATATCTATCTTTTAGAATTGCGGGTTGCCTATCTTTCAGAAAAGCGGGTTTTCTAGGTTCTGAAAGATCTCACTGAACTGACAGAATTTGCAACAGAATAGTTCACAAAGTGGTGCTTGTTGATCAGCGGTTTTTCTAAAAGAAGATCAACAAGCGCGGGTTCTCTTATAATTTTTGTGAACTACAAGCGGAAAAGACTCACCCAGAAAACACTCAGTTGCACACGAAAACTCTCTTCACTCCTTCGACATTCGAGTGGCACGCAAAAACTAAGAAAAATCACTCTTTATTCTCGCGTCAAGCACTGCACGTTCTGATAGTGACTGCGGACTGACTCCCGCTCTACCCGCTCTGCCCCGTCTCTCTATAAAGCGTGCATGCAGGTTTCGACAGGGCCAAGTATGACCTCACGCGCTCCGACTTCAGATGTTTTAATATACAGCTTATCAGATTCGAACGCTTTAAACGTCGAATCTAGTCTCACTCTCAATAAGCGTTGAAATGTTACATCGAATATAGTCTACTGACGTTTATTCTTAAAAAATATACAGCATTTTTACTTAAGATTAAACACTTTTATTTTAAAACTGATTATTATAAAAATAAATTAAATCGACGAGGAAGTGTCGAGTATCCGTCCAGATCTCCTGATCTAACGTCATTAGATTTCTTTCTGTGGGGAACTCGGAAGAATACTGTATACACCATAAAACCACATACGCTGGGTGCCATGAGAGAGGCGATTATGACTGCTTATGAATCCATTCCTATGGAAACCATATTACATGTTTGTAGATCTCATCCACAGCGTTCCAGGTGATGTACTTCTGCCATTGGAGGAAATTTTGAACATCTTCAACATTAAAACATCGTCAGTATTGTTTTGAACATCTTTGTGACTTAAAAAAATCATATTTTTGTTTATGGGACACCCTGTAGACACAGTTTACAATTATAGAAACGATTAAAACAATGCGTACTGAAAATGGAATGAATAGGAATCGATTAAACATTTAAGCATAGAAAAGAAGATGTGAATCGCGTGTTAACTGTCGTGTCGCTCGAAGAAATTCAACACTTATCGTTGCCAAAGCATACATCGAGCGGTATCGCCCGATCTCAACGACAAAAGTTTGGCCGAAAGAATGATAAATTGCATGAGCAACAGCGCGAGTAGACCGTTCCGTGAAACAAAGGGAGATGAAATTACGAGAAACAATGTGAAGGAGAATGGGAAACACGCAAAACAAGATTGGCTACGCGAGTGCTGATAATGAATTGAAGACAACAATTAAACGACGGCTATTCGAACTGCTTTGAATACTAAAACAATGGCTGAACTTCGGTCTTGGTGAAAAACCAATGTACATCTCGTTTACCGGAAGGAGGCACAGATTGCTCTATTAATTGGTCAAGAATGGAAGAAGCTAAAAGCTTATTGAATGGAAATAGTCGGATTTCCAAGAAAATTTACTAAAGTTTATGCTTGTGCGAAAATTTTTTAATGAAATTAACTGGGTTCTAGTTTTAATGATGAAAATTCTCTAAATTAGAATGTACATGAATTGCAAAAAGTCGAGGTGCAGTAAAAGACAATGAAAGAAAGAAATTGAACAATTTAATACAGATTATTTAGTATAAATTATAGTGTACATCATTTTATCAATTCGTGCTTTGAAACTTATTCATTCATTGAACACGAAACTGTACATACAAGAATATTCATCTCAATCTCAACGTCCATATTGTATGTTATTCACTTAATTCAAATCCATGTAAATGATGAAACGCTTTCAATCCTGCCTTGATCAGAAATCCTTGTAACTGTACTCATGATAAAGTTACTCTCGTTCATGGTAGTTTCTACTTCAGACACGTCGCAATTGCTCGAAACCGGACCGCTTTGTTTTCATCCTGTAATTCAGCAACGTGTATCTCAGCAGTTGCGGCGGAGAATTGTTTCCTTCAGAATTGGCGAAGCTTGTTGTTAGAACTGTCTATCAAACTTGTTACTCGATTCACGTTAAAATATAGTAAGGTTTACTTCCTAATTACGTTATTTTGTGCTCCATCAGAATCTATCTCATTTAATTCCAATAATGGTTTTGAAAGACCTGCAATAGTTTATTAAATATCATATCAAGCACCATAAACAAGCATTAATTCATTAAACATTTTGTTCATCATATTTACTTTACATGCTGTTCGTTAAAATTTTAATTCACAAACTTTTGTGCACCCGCTTGATTTGTAGGACGTCACCCGAATCCTGTTTTGTCTTACGCCTGAGTTTTTCAAATTCGCTAGAAAAACGGGCGACCCCGAAACGAAAAGCGATTTATCGTTGCTGCGGTCGTTTATTTCGGCACGCTTCATTGTATGCTTCAGGTATTTTCACAGGTAGAGGCGGTTCTGCAGCGGACAGTTTATCACTCCCCACTACTCGCTTGTCTATTGTGTTATCGATTGAAATATCACTAAATAACGTCTCTTCTCTCTTTCTTTTATATCAACTTTGACTGTCCTGTCACGGTAATCTTCGCTCCCATTTTCCGTATTCATCAATTTTTGATCAAGTGTCCTTTGTTCTGATCGTTCCTATCTAAACTACCCTATTTCAAAAACAAACTGTTATGAACGTTCCTTTGTATGTCAGCTTTTCCTTTCTTTATCAACTTTTCCATTCTGGCCTGCATTATAAAAATGCAATACTCATACATTTGCCAATGAATCTAATATCAATGTTTTATTGTATTAGAATTGAAATTATATATCACGTGTCTTCGGAGAACGTGAAACGGAAGAAGGGGGATGCGGTCTTTGCTCGCGGAAAGTTTATTTAATACGCTGTTAACGGCTGACACAGCGTTTCGCGGCACTAGACAATTTCGTAGTGAGATCGGGAATCGACTTTTTATCGCATCTAAAGCAGCTACACGCATTTTCATTTTCAGCAACAGAGGCACCCTCCTCTTCTTCTCGGTTGGATGTTCCTGATACTACCGTTCCTGCCCGCATCCAATCTTTTTATTACCGTTGGATTTGTTGTCGCAGAACGAGTGCTCTATATGCCCAGGTAATTAATCTTTGCAAATTTGATAATAAACCATTTTTAACTGCGAATTCTTGTGCAATGAAATTTATATGTATAGAAATTTATTTTATAATCTAAGCAATCTCATTATGCTCTCAGCTTATCATATTTTGTACAGTGCATGTAGAACTTATATTTCCTGCACATGCAATTATCTCATAAATGCATAAAGCCCGTTTTAATTAATTTTCAAGGAAATTATACTTTCTTTTAAATGTTTGTGATCAGAAGTACAGAAGATAATGTAATTTAAAAAACAAAGGAATTCACAAGAACTGTTCGTTTTGATAATACAAAAAACTAAGAAGTACTCCCTCTGTCCCATAATAATAGTAGCGGTTGATGAATTTAATTTGTCCCATAATAATAGTCGCAAAAGGAAATAAATACAGCGTGCAACATTTATTATCAAGAAGCTAGATTAGATTAAGCAATAAATTAAAGATATTGCTCCGAATTTTTATTTTGAGTGTTCGGATAGTTTCTGGATCTTTCAATAATTTCGTTACTGCATTTTAAACTGTTGCACTTAAATTGTTTCGTAGCTAATGTAATTGTACCTTTAAGATTGGACAATCGCAATTTGATCTTTTTGCTTGAAAATTCATCTTACTTTTACAATGGGTTGATATTCAACTGAAATAAAACAATTGATTTCGTTCAACGGATGAAATTATAAAAATAGTTATAATTCGTAATAATTGGGCTAATTTAAAAATTAAAAAATGTCAAAACAAATGACAGATGTTATTAAATATTGATTTTTATTCAAGACTTCGCGATTTTGCGCTACAACATAACTTACGGCTGCATTCGCCAATAATTCCTGTTTAAACTGCTACTATTATTATGGGACATGGGGAGTATCATTCATATGTAATATATTCAAGTTTCATTTTTTAGTAATAATCGATGATCAATTTTACGTAACAGAAATCTAAAAACGTTGTTTTATGTTTTTGCAATTAAGGTCGGTAATTTACTTTTGCAGTGTCGGATGGATCCTTCTGGTCGTATACGGAATGCAAATCAGCTGGACCGCCATCCCGCGCAAAAGGAGTCTAATTACGATGGGAATCGTGCTACTTCTTCTATTAGGATGTTACAAAACAGTGCTTCGAAACAGGGACTGGACGTCCAGGGAAACTTTGCTCAAGTTCGTTCCTTATTTACTCAAAGATTATTGCAAAATCGAATTTATAGTAAATATATAATATGCAATAGCTATTTAATCTATTCATCTTAGTAACGAATAAAATAATATGAATAAAATAAATAACTACATAAAATCAGTATTTACAATATTATTACTATATGTATACATACATCATCTTACTATTACACGAAGAAAAAGCGTTTGTTTGTACGTTAGTAAGAAGTTGAAAAACGATTTAAGTATTCACACTGAAATTGGGGCAGTAGATTTCTTATATGCTTATACATACTACGGAATATTATAAGGTATATTTACCTATTTGTAAAGCGAACAACATTGTTATGAATAATTATCAGGTCGATAAACAGAGAAAACAGGTTTTTACCTTTTGTCAATATTTTCTTTAACGCGATGAGGTGTCCAAGATATTTTGGCTCCAAAATATTACATAATCAACTCATTAAAAATCAATTTGTAGATTTCTCAAAATTCACGACCCACTGGTGTAACACGCGCTCTTACATATTTCTCAATATTTTTCAAGTATGATGGATTATAGATTTAGTTTGCGTTCACAAAGATTACCAACACAAATACCTAAAGATCAATTTTTAATATTTAACCCATCAAGTAGGTGAAAAAGTGAAAAATCTATACTTGCAAAGGCCTTAATATCTTTCAAGTTCCATAACTTAGCGAATTGGTTTTTGTTCATGAAATATTTCTATTCGAGTCGTCTATTCGTCTATTAATTTTCGTTATATTACGGGCGATGCCGCGACGGGGATGCTAGTATATTAATAACTTATCAATGAGATGAATTAAATATCTTACAAACCAAAATATTATACAATCAAGAAACTGATTTGCATAAGTAAATTAAACTCGTATCCTTTGTCACAATCGAAATGGTCGAATTTCATGTTGGTATTCACAGGTGAGCAAGTTACGATTAGTCTAGTAAATGGGAGCGTGTCAGGTTCATATCGTGCTTCACAACCGGGAATTTGTAAACATTTGTCGCCAAGAGATTCGAAAATGCCGTGAATGTTTGGGAGCTTGCGATATTTTTAGAAAAGAATACCCCTTGTGAATGATTCGAAATTATTTTGATAATATAAAGTTACAATAAATAACAGAAATTAAGAATATACGAAGTTAGTAACAGTGGGCACGTTCATTCTTATAGAACGTAACGAC